AGGTATGAGTTGATGTGTTGGCAAAATTCTACCAGAATTTGGAGCGTGTTCTCCGAGACCTGGTGACAGAGAATGCTCATCTCCAGTCTCGTGTGCAGCCAAAGATAGGGAGTTAGCTGCAGCACAGCAGCAATTGAGACGTAATGTGAGTCTTAAAGATGATTAAGTGGCACAGTCAAGTGTTGTGTTGTTTTTTGATCGCAGGAAGAACATTTGCAAGCAACTGAGAGGGAGATGCAGACACTCCGACAAGAGCTCACAGACAGGGACAGGGAGATTGCTCGGAAGGTATAGAGCACAGTGTATAGCAGACTTAGGGAATATATTTCACTATGTTGACTGTTGTAGGATGAGGAAAGTGAGAGAGAGAAGCAAGCGCTCAGACAAGAGCTGACAAGAAAGGAGGCAGAGGTGACAAGAAATAAAGCAGAGCTGACGAGAAAGGAAGTTGACTTGGCTGAAACTCAGCAACAGTTGATACAAAAGGTAAAAAAAACTGGTGTTTAGCATTTTTAGCAGACGTTTTTACGAAGTCGTGATGCGATTGCTTTTCAGGAGGAACAGTTACAAACAAATGAGAGAGCAAAACTGATAGTTTTTAGCAAAAGCCTGTTCAACATTCTCCCTCTTGGTTTCTGCAGGATGCAGAGGTGGCGAGAAAAGAGGCAGAGGTGACGAGGGCAGAGGAGACTATCAGGAGAGAGCAGCAGCAGATTCAGGAGATGAGACAGAGAGTTAGTCTAGTGTGTGGAGTTGTGTGTTGTGACTAGAGGTCCTCCTGACTGCAGGAGACTGAGTTAGTGCAGGCCAAGGACAGGGAGATAGCTCTGCTTCAGCAGCAACTGGGGGAAAAGGTCAGTCATGAATGGTATACCCTCAATTCACTGGCTATGAATATCAGTATAGCTCTAATTTCACGCACCTGAATGTGTAAGAGTATGTGTGGTAACTATAAGAATGTGAGTAAAAATTGTCGCAAATTGCCCTCCTTTGTCATCGACTGGACAGTCTTTCTGGACTCAAAAGCAACCAAAATAGCATACATTTGTGGCAGCAAGACTACTGTATTTCTTACTTAGCGAGCTCGGTAATTTGCAGTAATGATATTATTTTTGTCGATGCGTGGACTTCTAAATCTTCTGAAGTTTCTGGTCTCTAAATTGCATGCAATGACATACGTATGTTGCACAGACTCCCCTGGGGTTTGGGAAGGTGCCGGTCAAGGTAAGTCCCATTGTCACACTCCTCCAGCCCCTTCCCTCCTCCCTTTACCACCTCCCGTCCCTTTACCACTGTCCCTGTCAACGTCTTCCCTGGGACTCTCACTTGGCCTACCAGCGAGAAAGTAACGCTCGTTTGCTATTAAAGCTGCACCGAATTTGAACGGTGTACACATTGCATATCTCTAAACAGGTTGGCCTCGTCCATGGAAGAGCCTTGGGGGTAATCCTTGTGTTCAAACACTATTGCTCTGCACCTGAACTGGTACGAACTCTTTGGATCCAACCCCAGTTTGGTTTGAACTCAAATCAGCACTGAATTCATTTTGACTTGCAGTCTTGTACGTTGGTCGATCGGGGCATTGGGGCACGTGACAACGATTGGAGATTCTTCAAAGATAGTGTGTGTTAGGCAATGCTGGACTCGATTTTTTCCTTCAAGTCTGAGTATAAGGTAGCGTTTTCTTTTCGCAGCTCTATTGCTATAACTATATATAGCCATGTTAGACATTGCCTTATAGTTTGCCAAACACAAGGTTTTCACTTGTTATTCACTCTTCGCCTAGACTGCACCGAATTTGAAACAGGTTGGCCTCGTCCATGGAAGGGCGTTGGCGGTAATCCTTGTGTTCAAACACTATTGCTCTGCACCTGAACTGGTACGAGCTCTTTGGATCCAGAGAACTCTCCTCCATTCGACGGCGTGCGCTTCAACCTTCGGTGACTGACCGAGGCTGTACCTCTTCCCAATCTTCATGGTTCCAAGCTGCAACTTGCAAACACGCTAGGATTGCTCGTGCACATACTGCTGCATGCTAGCTGCCTGGTGGACCACGACTGACGAGCTGAAAGCGTAAGGTAAGTACCGTTCTGCTCACCTGCTCACCGTTCTGCCAATGCAATACGCATGTAACGGCGACAGGTAGATCTGTCTTGCTTCACGAAAGGAAAGCTTGCGTTGACGGCACGTTATGCAACCCGAACATCGCGGGCAAATCCCAAGTTGGGTCGCTCCCGCTCGCCAACAATGTTCAACATTTCCACTAGTATATAGCCATGTTAGACATTGCCCTATAGTTTGCCAAACACAAGGTTTCACTTGTTATTCACTCTTCGCTCTCTGTCTGTCCCAGCACTCTTACACATGTCAGGTCAGTGGACCTGGTCTAACATCAGCCACAGTCAACCAACCAACACACGTCCTAGTCCAACTAACTGACTCTAGTGGTAGACCATACTCACTTCCGCTGAATGTCACCGCACAACTTGAGCTCGTTTCAAAAGCCACACCCACAAATCAACCTGAAGCCACACCCACTAGATCAAGGTGGCCTTGGTCAAAGAAACAGCCAGGAAAACCGGTATCGGTTGCCATGACGTCTCCCTCCCAATACAAGGTGTCGTACACACCAGTCAGTCGAGGCCAACACAAACTCCATGTTCAAGTCAACGACAGAGAAATCAATGGCAGCCCCTTCACTGTGACCGTGTACCCTGACCCCAGACAACTAGGCCACCCAGTGAGGACTGTGACTGGATTGTTCGCTCCATATGGCATTGCCTTCAACAGTCATCAGGAGATGATTGTCAGTGAATGTGGGGGTCATAGAGTGTCTATCTTTGACATCAGAGGACAGAAAATCGGAACATTTGGATCACGTGGTGACAGTCCAGATCAGATGAATACCCTGCAGGCATAGCAACTGATGATACTGACAATATTTATGTGAGCAGTGAGCACAAGCTGCAGAAGTTCACTAGCAGTGGTGAACTGATCAAATGTATTGGTCGGAGGGGCAGTAAGGAGGGGGAGTTTAATGATCCACGTGGAGTGACACTGTATGACAATCAAGTGTATGTGTGTGATCATTATAACCATCGCATTCAGGTGTTTGACCTCGACTTGAACTTTGTCCGATCCATTGGCTCACGTGGCAAAGGAAGAGGTGAATTCAATGCACCACATGATGTCAAATTTGACACTGCCGGGAACATGTATGTAGCTGAGTTGGTAATGGGAGAGTGCAAGTAATGGACACCAGTGGCCAATTCATACGAGTATTTGGTCAGGAAGGAGAGGGAAAACTGCGTGAGCCATCAGGTCTTCATATTGTTGACAAGTATGTGTATGTGTCTGATTGCAGTGGTGATTGTATTGTAGTGTATGAGACCTCAGGTCAGTTTGTCACCTCATTTGGAAGGTGTGGTCAGAAAGAGGGAGAGTTTATGGTCCATTCTGTATCACCTCTTGTGTTGATGGTTTTATACATGTATGTGACTATGGTAACAACAGAGTTCAGATATTCTAGAACACCCAATGCTACTGCCATCCATACATTTATCATAACAGTCAATCTCTAGACCACACCCCCTTTTCCTACCACTTGTTGCTCTCCTTAACACGTCTTCAGACACATTATATAACCACAATGCCTTATTATCCCATGTTTCATGTAATTGTATCCACTATCGTCTATTGTAGCATAATAAGGCGTCTAAAAATTGTGTGCTTCAGTGTTTAATATTGTACTTCATGTTTGTAACAATGTGTTAATGGTGCAGTTCTCTGTAAACTATTGTGCTGATGTGACAGTTGAATCACATAATAATATTCATCATTTCGTTAATTAGCATGTTTTGTAGTCCGTCTCTTGTTCTCATTTGTAATAACTCATGTATTATACTATTCGTGTTAATTAGTCTTGTAGTCAGCACTCATGTAATACTGTCTTTCATAAAAAAATTCTCTCTTATGCAACGATCTTGAAATATTACAGTAATCTGACAATTTTTAGAATTCACACGTAGTTTTATTCATTATGTGCGGTTGATATGCAAATGGTATTATTTATGTATAGGTTTGATGATGGCAAGTATGCTCTATGAGCGGGCAGCCGAATAGAGCATACTTGCCATCATCAAACCTACTTGGTACATGTCTCCGTAGTAACTACAGCACAATGGATAATTATGCCACCTTTTTAGGAAAGCCTTCACTTGACAGTATATACAGCACAGCAAATTTGTATATACAGCACCAGCAAGTTTGTATAGTGGCAGTATTGCTAATAGTGCTGAGTGGGTGGTACTACAAACCAATATTATCATAATACATCGTTGCCAGGGTAACATGTACCAAGTGGGCCACCATGCACCACATAATACACCTGCACTAGCACTTAGTTCTTGGACTATAGTTGACAACATACATTACATAATGATGACATCATAAACACAATGTTAAGAGTTGTTCTCAAGGCAGGAGCTAGGGAGGATCTTGGAGCAGTTGATTCCTCGATGAGTGGCTTTCTCTGGTTTGACAAACAGTCCGTGAGAAGGCTTGCAGCGAAAGTAGCGATGTCCCTTCACCGACCCATCGTTCTTTCCATCTGCAGAGGAGAGAGAGTGATAGAGTTGAAGGGGTTAATGAGTTAAATTTAATGAGCCAGGGGTTAAAGTTCCAGGGGTTAAAACTGCAGTGTTTTAAATTTGGATGCCATGGGTATCTGAATTTCATGTATAAAGTATTAGCGCTTTAGTATTATAACCCCCATATAAATTCTTATGGACTTATGGAGGCTCTGGACACATGGCTTTCAGTTTTTCGCACGTATTATTTAGCGAAACCAAAATTTGCATCAGAACTTGGAGCGTATCCTGCGACACATGGTGAAAGAGATTGCAGAGCTCCAGTCCAGGGTGGAGGGGCAAGACAGGGAGTTAGCTGTACTGCAACAGCAACTGGACACACTGAGGGCCAAAGTCCCGGTATGTGACTTTTTTTGAGAATGCGCATGTTGATTTTTCTCGAATTGCTCGATGTATAAATAGTTCTTCAAGATTCCTTTCCTTTGGTCTCGGTTTTTTATATACATTCAATGCATACTTTTTACTTAAGAAAGAAAAGCCCTCTTTTTAAAAGATCGTTCTCAACATGAACGCACGATAGCCAACTCTCTCTGTACGATGTTCCTCTATCTTTTATGTTCTCATACCAGCCTGAAATCCATTCACCATAATTATTCCATAATTTTAATAAAACAAGGTTTTGGCTCTTTTGACCCACAACTAGTATATACACAAAGAAATTAATACATCCGTTTGGTACCGTAAGGAAGCATAATATGAGAATTATTGTTGGGTTCAGCTGGTTTAGGTGTGCATAAAGAAAGAGCTGTCCTGGGTGTAGTTGACTAGCTGTCCTGACTTATTTGCCTTGCCTTGCCTTTCTATATACCTCACTACCAAGTTGTTGAGACGTAATATAAATATTGTGTGTATAATAAGGATGCCACGAAGTCTGAAGCACAATTAGGTACATTCCTCGTGCTCAATTCCAGGGCCTGGACATGTGCAAAGCCACACACAGATTGGGAATATATAGTACTATAATAATATTAGGTGGTATCAAATTTCTACCACCATATTAAGATTGTAGTAAGATTCCCACATCCTTGCCATACCTGAAACATAGTAAACCACTCATACTAGGACTTCCACCTACAATGCTGTGTCTTATGCTTTAGGCTAGGAGGGATAGTTTGTGACCCTGGCAATATCAACGGTATCCATTTCAATGCTTTTTGCTTTTTCAATGACAGCTGAGGCTGAAATACATATATCAGTAAGTAGGAGAAGGAAGAAGAGAGAGAAAGGGACCTGTAGGTCAGTTGTGACGGCCATGGTTCCCTGAGCCTCAAAGGTGCGAGGAGAGCGGGCAACAGACTCCCTCTTCCTCCCTCCATTGGCGGCCATCTTTTTCCTTCTCTCTGTGGACAACTGCCTCATTGGAGCCTTGGAGATTCTCTGCATCGGAACGAAGAGACCTGGGAGAGAGGGGAGGGGGGAGGGAGAAGGAGCGAGTGCCAAGAGGGGAAGGTAAATAAGATGGCAGAGAAAGAGGGAGAGGGGAGGGTGTGAAATCACAGAGAAGGTAAAGATGGGGTGTATGCCTAGTAAAATGAGGCAGCAGTATATGTTCATGTACAACTGATCAAAGTTGTAAATTTGGTCCCCGATGCTTGCCCACTCCACCACAAACTCACCAAAAAACTTGGGTTTGCAGGTGAAGAACCTGATTCCCTTGAGAGAGCCGTCGTTCTTCCCGACAGCGTCGTCCAGTTCAATCCCCGCCCACTGACCCCTCAGGAAGTCTATCGCACCTCCAAACCTTACGGTGCCATTACTAGTCAGATGTGGAAATAAACATACATCTAGTGTACATGAACCAGGAAAACACGTTAAAGCACTTGCAGAAGTTAGTCGTGCTAGTCAAACACACAACACAACCAATTTTGTGTGTACCTACATGTCAGCAGCCAACCAAAATCCATGCTGTAAAATTGTAGTGTAATGTGTGAGTAAAGCTTAACCTGCCACCACGGACACAAACGTGTCCAGAGCCTCCATAAGTCCATAAGAAATTATATGGGGGTTGAAATACTAGGCACTATTACTTTATACATCAATTTCTGCTTATGTAAGCAGATCCCCATGGCGTCCAAGGAACGCTAATTGGCGAGCGGGAGCGAGCTAACCTAGTGATCCAAACGGCGCGATTTTT